GCAAGGACGCTCCTAGGGGCTCCTGGCATCACTACTAGGAGCAAGGAGGCTACTAGATCCTCCTGGCATCGCTACTAGGAACAAAAACGTTCCTAGGGGCTCCTGGGATTGCTGCTGGGAGCAAGGACGCTCCTAGGGGCTCCTAGCATCGCTACTAGGAGCAAGGACGCTACTAGATCCTCCTGGCATCGCTACTAGGAACAAAAACGTTCCTAGGGGCTCCTGGGATCGCTGCTGGGAGCAAGGACGCTACTAGGGGCTCCTGGCATCGCTACTAGGAGCAAGGACGCTACTAGATCCTCCTGGCATCGCTACTAGGAACAAAAACGTTCCTAGGGGCTCCTGGGATCACTGCTGGGAGCAAGGACGCTCCTAGGGGCTCCTGGCATCGCTACTAGGAGCAAGGACGCTACTAGATCCTCCTGGCATCGCTACTAGGAACAAAAACGTTCCTAGGGGCTCCTGGGATCGCTGCTGGGAGCAAGGACGCTCCTAGGGGCTCCTGGCATCGCTACTAGGAGCAAGGACGCTACTAGGGGTCGCTACTAGGAACAAAAACGTTCCTAGGGGCTCCTGGGATCGCTACTAGGAACAGGAACGCTACTAGCTAAGAATGCTAGTAACAAAAGAGAAACCAGCGAAGCTCTCCATCGTCCCTCACGTCGCGTCCCCGGACGAGTCTCGACCTGGAGGTAGGCTGGTGCTGCCGTAGAGTCCTGGCGCATTGGTCGACTCCCGAAGTGGACCTCGTTAGGTGGATACCACTCCCTGAAATCCTCATGGGAGTGGAACATGGCCTGGTGCCTTCCATGCTCTACATGGAGTAGAACAGGTCATTTCAGGAGTGGAACACGGAAGTGGAAGTGGAACATGGCCCATTCCATGACTATTCAAGGAGTGTAAATCTTCCTGGACCTTTGCGAAAGGACGATGATTCCTTTGTCACTCTTCTAATTGGACCCGGCCCTGCAACCTCTGAGTGTTGATATTGTATATGTATGTATGTATATATATATATATATATACTCGTCCAGTCTAACCAAAAGCGCCCTTCTTCGTCCACCAAAAGAGTGGAACCAATGACTCGGCCGTTCGAAGTCTCAGATTTATCAAGACCATCCAGTCTAAGCAGCGTCTAGTGGTGAACCCATTGTTGACCAGTCGCCAGTGGAGATCATCCCCTTCCTTTTGTCCACTTCATGAGCCGTTGGACAAGCCAGTGGCCTCGATCATCCCCGTTAAAATAGATAAGTCACTTTACTTCGAGGCATCCCCACCATGGGATTTCAAACTGACAAAATTTCCGGCATGTATTGAAACTTTATTTCGGCATTCTTTCTCGCATATCATCTGACATTCTTTCTGACATTGTTTCCGGCATATATTCTGCCATTCTTTCTGGCATGCTTTCTGGCATATCTTCTGACATTCTATCTGGTATATCTTCTGACATTCTTTCTGGCATCTCTTCTGGCGTGCTTTCTGGCATATCTTCTGACATTCTTTCTGGCATATCTTCTGATATTCTTTCGGGCATCTCTTTTGACATTCATTCTGGCATTCTATCTGGAATATTTGCTGATATTATTTTTGACATTCTTGCATATCTTCTGACATTCTTTCTGGCATCTCTTCTGACATTCATTCTGGGATTCTATCTGGCATATCTTCTGACACTCTTTCCGACACTTCTGACATTCTTTCTGGCATATCTTCTGACTTTCTGAAATCTGACATTCTTTCTGGCGAATTCTGGCATTCTATCTCGCAAATCTTCTGACTCGCGGTTGAGGTCACCGGTCACCGGAGCTCGCGGTTGAGGTCCTGCGCGGAACACTGCCATCCGGAGCTATATACAGTGTATATAGTATATATAAAATGTACTTTATATGGTTAGTATGTAATATTTATGATACTACCTTATAAGTTACATTATACAATAAGTAATGACAGCGCGGGCAACCTGGTCTGCTATTTCTCCGCCGGCCGGCCGGCTAGTACGCGATCGGTCGGCTCCCCGCTGTTCGTCTTCACTCCTCCAGACACGAAGCTTGCGCTGCTGTAGGGTCCTGGTGGGTCGAAGAACCCAAGGGGGGGAGACCAATCCTCAATTGATCTCATGTCCTCAATTCGTCTCCCTTAAATGTTGGAGGAGAAGCAATCTCAAACAGATACGGGATCTTTGGCCCCAAAGGGCCTCATCTCAAGCAGAAGAACACCTAACTGTGCCATCCCTCACTGCAAGCTGATAGGCTTGTTTTTGTAGCTTTCAAACAGGCACCCTCAAGACGCGAGCAGCCACGAGACGTTTGCCTGGGGTGTCCGCTTCTTTGGTGTACCTCAAGAGCGATTTCCAGTACTTCTATGTACTTCTTAAAGGGGATCGATGTCTTGCAGTTTCACTGTGCTTGTTTGGTTTTTTGCTTCCAGTGAAACAGCCAGCGATCCACTCGCCATCCACTCAGTGAGTCCATCGATCTCGGTTTCGAGACACCGCGCAGTGCGAAGATCGATGTGGGCGTTCTGACCGCATTTTTCCTGCATGCTCTGATGGAAATAACCGCAAAAGAAGAACGAGTACTCCTACTCAAGGCCCTTTGCAGCCTTCTTCCAGCTTTTGAGTCTAAAACGTTTCATCTGCATCCCCAACCTGGGACTATCCACAGATTCTCTGAATCCTATGTATCAGAAGTGTTCAACCAAGTGTGGTAACCCTCCAAAACCGCGATGGTTCTGACATCTCCAGAACCCGAAAAAAGGGTCCAGAACCCGAATTCGGTTTCGCGCGTGTCATCGCCCAATCTGGTCGCTCGAGTTGTTCGGTCCTTGGTCGAGGAACTGCCTGGCAGCGAACAGACCGTGGCTTTTGAGGCCAAGAGAAATGCTGCACACGCTGGCGGCTGATTTGGTATAGGATGTAAGAGGATGTAAGAGGACGTAGGAGTGTAGCTCCTCCTCCAACATGACCTTGCTTCACGAACTTCCTTTCCAACCTCCAGGACGACCGGCTCACGCGCGGATCGACCCGGGACGACCGGGAGCCGCCGGTGGCCTCGATGCCTCGGAGGGAAGCGAGACCAACCTCGGGAGAGTGGTGAGTCGAAGGACCCGGAGTTCATTCGACAATCGCAGGTTGGGTACCGCCAGGTGAAGTGGGGGCCAGGTCCAAAAAAAGCCTTTTCTATACTATACTAGACTTTATATATGCCAGTTTGGGTACCCCCCAGGTGATCCGGGTCCTTTTTCCGGTCACGAGTAGACTCCTCCTCTCTTTGGTGAAGGAACTTTGTAAGAACCGTTCAGCCTGATGAGAGGTTCTCTTCCATGACTCATGTTCAGACCCTCATAGAAATGGGATCCTTGGATAGATTCGCAAAAAAAGTAATAGGGTGTGCACCCATCAAGCTAAGGGTTATCCATGATGGTTCTCCTCTTCTTTGGGTAAATCCATGTCACAGGACGGCCGATGTGCCGATTCGCCGCCACGGCCGATGCGCCGAGTCACTGCTGGGCGATGCGCTCCGACTCCTCATGCTCATCACGCCACTCCTCTGCCCAATGCTGCTGCTGCACCTGCGGCAAAGCGGCAAAGCATCGGAGTGGAGCTCTGCGCCCAATCGAGGAGCAGGAGAGACCGAGCACGGTTTGGCCTGCTTTTTCAGGTGCCATGGGATGGGATGGGACGAACCCCGTTGGTGGCCTTGTTTTGGTCCTTGCCTCACAAGCATGAACAAGTGCCGCACCAAACCGATTGGGACGAGGCGAAGACAAACCGCCACCGAACTGTCGGACGGCTTTTCTTTACGAGACGTCGGGACGTGCTTGTAAGCTGCTTGTATGTTTGAACAGCCGCACTTTTCACTCCCATGCATTGCATTGGGGTGTCTGTGGGTCACTGCAATCTCCGCGCCGCAATTCTCCTCTCTCACTCTCTGCCTCTCGGTGCTTTCTGGTGATCTGCCGCTCCCACGGCAAGTGGTCCGAACAATGGACTCCAGGAACATGGTCAAATTCTGAAGGGATGGAAGACCGACTGTTCCTTCCTTTGCTGTGTGAACAGTTTGTTTGGAGTGTATGAAATGGTCTTCTTTTCTCTTCATAAAGTGTGATTAATCTGTGTGGTCTCTTCAACCCCCTAACCATTGAACCATTGGCATTCTTGTAAATCCACTTTCCGTTACCTTACCAACAAAGCTTAAAGGACCCCAAAAAGGCCCTATAGGCTATCCCATACCCCAGGAGAATCCCTTTTCAGGTCACTTGACCTCTCTTGGTACTTCAACTAACGCAGCTTCGGCGTCTTCTTTCGGCCCCCCCCGCCTCGAGTAGTGGGCAGTCCGGCCGCATCAAAGCATGCCGTGGAAGCGCCAACTGACCGGTGACGAACGTCTGGGACGGACTGAGAAGGGTTCCCAAGTACAGGCCGCCGGGCCTAGATGGACTGAGGAAGTCAGCAATACATAGTGCGTTATTCGTGTTTTTTGAGGAGAACATGGTGGCTGAATCTGGTGCTGGACAGTAAGCAGAACGTCTGCTTGAGCGTGTGCAGCTGCGTAAGAGACTCGGGAACCCCGGGGGGGGCCCAGACAACACCACGACCGAGCCCCCGCCACGGGGCGCGCTGCTTGCGCCTGCTCGCGCCCATGCAAAGCTGCCATCTCTGCAAAGGCTTTCCACACCAAATCACTGCCGATCCGCAGACATTCGCACTCCTGCCCAAACTCGGCGCAAGCGGGGCATGGTGGTCGGACCGTTTCCTTTGGGGCAGGTGGTCAAGGTCTCTAGACTTGGTGCCCAGAACTTCGGGATGTTTCAAGAGCTTCCGGTTGCTTCGGGTGGATGATCTTCCCATTTTCAGGTGTCAGATCTCCGAGGCGCCTTGACTCGCTCAGAACAATTGACAGGGCCATTTTAGGGTTCACGCGGTTTCGTGTGTCTCGTTCTGGACGTCCATAAGGTGCGGTGTGTTTGGATCTGTTCTGTGAGCACGGGTCATGTGTGTTTGGCATTGAGTGAACCAGCGTCGAGCACCACAACGAACCAATCTCAAATGCTATGAGGCTGCTCAGGCTTTCAGAAGTTGCAAAGAAGCTAAAGGCTAGGCTACAACCCCCCTTTAACGCGTGGCTCTAATCAAGGCTTTTGGGGGTGCCAAGCCCGAAAAAAGAACATCTGGATTTGAGCCCAAAGGATGTATCTGCCATGGTTTGATATGATGATTATATTTGATAATGTAATATATTACAATATATACATAGCTCACTTTCATGTAATTTCCTAATTGTTGAGCAAATGTCCCAACAGCTCCCACAGCGTGCAGATTGCAGGTGAGACAACACACATTTCTGCGTATCCCTCGGAAGCATGAAGGAAGATCCCAAGACCCCAACCACTAGGTGCACACTCAAGACTTGGTGGGCGAAAATGACTTCAAACGACCGGCACAAAATACATGGCAGCCATACCAGATATCTTCCTTTTCTATGATTCTCTCAGTTGTGAGAGGAAGACGCTGCAACACCTCCAACCGAAGCAGAAAAAACGTGCCTGGCGGGCTAAGAAGACCAGCTCGCCTCAGCTCGGACAGGGCAGGCCGCCAGCTCGCGACTCGGTCCTCGATACTCGGGTCAAAGAGCTTTGTGCCCACTCGGAACCAAGAAGGATTTGATTGTGGGTCACAACCCCAAAGCCCATTTTCGCTGGTCACTTGACCGGTCTGGTAGTCTGGACACTCATGTGAAGCTCTGCCAAGCCGTCACCGTGGTGTCAGTCCGAGACGAGGGATGCTGCTCCGTCGCGCTGACCGTGTCGTGCGGACCGTGTCGTGCGGACCTCCAACGGCGTTCGTGGCGTTGTTCGCTCGTGAACGTGTGCGTGTGTGTGTGTGTGTGTCGAGACCGGGGGGTGTTCTTCGTTGGTGTCGAGCTGTGGGAGGTGTGAAGGATTGAACTACCGCCGAAACCAAGCAAGCGCAACGCGCACCCTGAAGTTGGAAAGCCTTGCGCATCAGGGCAAGTTGGCAAGCGGAGGAGTCAACAACAGAGTTTCGGCAAAGAATGGATTTCGCATCTTATTTGGAACAATAGAGAGGGATGACAACTGCCAAGAAGAGACACCCGGTTCTTTCCATCGAAGTCACGATCCATCGATCACCCTCCTTCCAGCATAAAAACCCCCAAGCCATAGACAGATGCCATAGATCAGTCTTTCCAACACCAAAAGGGCGGACGCAGGCCTTCCCGCACCCTTCCTGAAGCGATCTAAGACCGAACGGTCCCCGTCCGAGCCACGGTCGTGGCATCTTCCCCGCCAAGGGGCAGTCCTCGATGGCCAGCAGCGACGGCAGTCCTCGATGTGCGACGCCCAACCGCAACTCCCATGGCCAGAGGGCCTGATCTTCACCTCGGACAGTGGAATCTGGGGATCCACCTTGACCAGTACCTGACCCAGTCAGTGGAAAAAACAGAACAGGAGCTTTCAGCCGCGCATGCCGCAGATGTTCACCTCAAGAAGGGGATGCGGTACCATCTCACCTTACCCACCGATGTGTAGAGCCCTGCGCGAACGGAAACGAACTCAGTAACTACCCTGGCGGCGTGAACTGTTTGTTGAAAGACCTCCTGCAGGCCGAAGCTTTGGCAAATCATTTCCCTAAGGATCCAAGTACCCTCGTTTCGAAGGTGTTTGGGGTGGGTTTGGAGGGTCCAAGTACCTTTTGAGGAGGTACTTGGATCCCTAGGGTTTAGCCATAGCCTTGAGACCTTGGGTCTCCTCTGAGCTGATTGCAGGGCTGCTTCGGCTGATTCTTTGGCATGTCCAATCCCTGCAAACCTAGAGCAATCTCTCTCAAATCTAGCCATCACGTCCGATCCTCCACCAATCAGGATCACCCCACCACACCAATCTATCCATCCGCCGATCGCCCCCCTGAGCTCCCCGGGCAAAACCAGGCTTCATGGCACCAGAACGGAGAAGGGACCGACCCACCACCTGGAAACCCACGGGTCGTCTCGGCGGAGGGTCGACCTTCCGTTCGTTCCGACGAGGTGCGCGGACGCAAAGAACCGAGTTCGTCTCGGACGAGTGGTTCGGCGTTCGGGTCTGGAAGGACTAAGGACTGGGCACTGAAGACCACTGAAGACATACTGGGCAGGCACAGAAAAGCGTTTGACTGGACATTCCCCGACGTAGACTTGTCCTTTAGCAACTGCAAACCGGGCAGCTGCAAGACCAAGAATGCTCTCTTTTGGGTGAAGGGGCCCCAAGGGCTTGTTGGAGCTGTCCCATTGAAAGCAGGTAAACTGATGCTCTGGAGTTAAACCCCAGTCTTGTGTCTTCAGACCATCAGCCCTTGTTCTTCTACGCACAAACACAAGTGCAGCAGGGTGTCTTGCTGCAGGACTTTTCTTTGACCAAAACGGTCAATTGAAACAATTCCCTAAATCCAAATTGTAAACATGTGTGAACTGTGTGAACCGCAAACTTCTGATTGACCAACTCAATCCAAGTCTTGAAACCCAAAATTGCTGCATGAGAGGCTTGATGTCATTTGCTAGATCACGATCTAAGCAGCGCGACCTGCGACCTGACTTCAGCCCTTGGAGGTCGCCCCGTCAGGTGGTCAGCCGTTCAACCTGCATGGATAGAGGAACCTTTGCACTTTCAAACCTTGCAAGTCATTCGAATTCAGTGTGGGGTTGGACTACCAACCAAACGGTGGTGTCAGTGGATCCTGAAAACAAGGATTTTCTTCTAGAGGCTTCTTCTTTCCCGAATCTTTCAAAGGAAACCGGGTCGTCCAAAACTCCATGGATTCTTCTCCTATCACCATAGCCCGCCGCTTTGAGACCCCCCCAGCCTCCCCCGCTTCCGGCACCTACGAACTCGCCCGCGGCCGCCGTGCCGGAGAGCAGCAGCCGCAAGCCATCCACGTGTCCATCGTGTTGAAGGCCTGGATCGGTGCGGCTGTGGCCAGGGGATGGGGCCTGTTCCTGGTAATTTGGGGGTTCTTCCATGTCGTTGAGACAACTACAGGCAACTACAAGTGAGTTCTTACAACCAAATCCGGCCAATTCGACACCTCAAGGACCAAATCACCAGGTGAGCACTGCACCCTCCCTCCCACCACGGTCCCATGGAACAGGCCATCCATGTGTCGGAGCTGCTTTCGTCGCTTTCCATGTCGAACAGGTCCATGACTCGAACAGGTCTCACTCTGTATAGGTCCAGTTCCCCGTCCTCAAACCCCTCGAAAGGGGAACAATTCAAGAGATCGGGCACCAGGGGAAATGAAATCGATCTTTCTTGGCTCGGCTTTTGAATGTCCTGTTTCCAAACTTCATCAAAGCTCTTTCCGGTGCAGCTCTTCAAAAAGAGTCTAGTCTATAAATGACAAGTTAAGAAATGCAACTACAACATTCTCCATGCATCTACATCCTTAATCATCCTTACATAAAGCCTGTTGTTTCATAACTTCCCCAAGCCCGGGCCCTAAGTCTGCCAAGTGGCGCTGCCCCTGCGCGATCACTGGAAGAAGTTCCAAGTGCTGACAAAGCCGGAAGAGCTGCGCGTCTGGGAGGCCATGGAAGAGAGGCAAAACATCCTCGGAAGAGTAGAGGAGTGGATGGACATTGACATCCCTTCCATGGGTCAATGGAGCCCTGGTCCATCATGTACTGTAACTTGAACTTCCAGGTAGGTCAACCAAACATGCTTTGACATCCTTCGATTATAGTCCCCGAATGTAGACTCTTGAGGTACATAGACCCGCCACATGAAGAGGTGATTCAATTGGGAATGTGTGTTGATCAAGAGTCTACATGAGCGCTGTTTGTCCCCCATCCAGGCTTGATCACCAGGACTCCTCCCCCATCCGAAGCGGGGGCCCGAAGAGTCGGAATTTGGAGACTCTCCACTCAGCTGCGAAAGTTGGATGGTGGAGGATGCTCCACCCCAAAGTGTGCTTTGGGAATTGGTCCATAAATGAGGTTTCCTGCGGTTCGTTGAGGTCTGGATTCTATGGATATCTTGAGAATGATCAGCCTGGGCTTCTTGAGCTCGGGTGGTGACAGGCTTAACAGGGCCCAGTGCAGAATGAGGGAAGAGTCTTGGGCTGCGGCCACAGTCAATCACCATGGAGATTGCTGTTAACCGCCACATACAACCGGATTTCTGGCATGAACAAAATCATATTTTTGTTTCCTGCAGGGCCACATTGTTGACATGGTTTGAATCTGAGGGTGTCTCGTGAAACCGAGGACAGGCTTGTACAAACATGAAGCCTAATGCAGCCAGATGCTGCGACAGTCATCGAGCCAAATCAAGGAGTCACGACTGAGGGCTCTGAAGCGTGACATCCACGGACCTGGCTCTCATCTGGATGCTTTTGGAGCACTCCCCATCTCGTTTGGATCCAGAAAAGGAACAAGCGTTCAGTAGTTGCCTATTGCGTAGGAATATTTTGCAGCATGAGGATGGGTGAAAACTAGCTGTTCCTCGAAGAACATCAAATATCAACAGCCTTGACCACAGACATCTGTTTCATTTCCCCGGCCCAAGTGCATCAAGGAGCCAAGTACTGCTTCAGAACCTGTGGAGGCGGGCAAGTTGAGAAGGGCCTGGTTTCTCGAAAAAATGCTTCGGTTGGTCGTTGAGTGTGTGTGCCCGTCGTGTCACCCAATTCCTTCCACGCCAATCCTCACGGTGACCCGGTCCGTCAAAAGGAACGGACCCTGGAAAAACCATTACCCAAATAGAAGGAACAGACCCCAAATAGATAGAAGGTGGTGCCATCCCCACTGAAACATTTGGAAAAAAACCGCTGGTCATGTCTATTTCCATTTGGAAAAAAACACTCACCCTCGCTTGCCGCGGTAAGGGTTCACCTTGCCATGGGCTCCGAAACCGGTGGTGTCGTCTCCCGGCTCGGTCGGCAGACGACGCCTGGAGATCTGAGACCTGCCGGCACATCTTCTCGGTCTTTCGCAAGACCTGCCGGGTGGGGCCGGTGGACCGGGACCCGGTCCCGCGCGGACATGGGACCACCAGCGCGGTGTTGACATGGGTGTGTCGAAGAAGACGAGGTGACGATGAAGCTTCGAAGAGTGAGCAAACCTGAGGTTTTTGGGGGTGGGGGGCCTCTTAGAAGCCGGATGCCAAGCATAATTCTTAAATCTGATTGATGCGATGTCCCTTCTTCGATCTGTTTGAGAACAGAAACCGTCTCTGTCCAAGTTGATGCCTTTGTTTAGTCAAGTTCTGTTGCAGTCCCCCTGCTGTTTTCCAACGCCTGAAGTTGCTTCATTGTGAAACTTCAGTTTTCTCGTCAGGCAGCACGTAGCAAGTTCACTTAAAGAGAACGTCAACTTGATGCCTGCGGCAGCTAAGACCTATGCTCCGGCCAGGGCTTCTCAGTTCATGTCGCCGTAATGAGGCACAACCAGAGAGTACTTCATGTTAATCACATACGCATGTCCTTTGGTGTGCGCCAACACTGATGCCAGCATCTTCTCGTTGTTTGGACCATCCTTGTGGAAGCACTCAACACAATATGGATCCGATTGTCTCCCATCAGCGGTTGCACACTCTCCCTTGATGATCATTTTGACCAGCTTAGCCCCCGGTGTTATGGACACGGATTCACCAGCCTGAATTCCTTTTTCTGCGCTTATGCCTGCACTCATGTTGTAAGTGACGTGGTCTGAAGCTGTGTTCCAAAGAACATAGCAATGGTTTTCACCGCCTCCAAAGAGCGCGCTGGCCCGACAATCAGCGGCGTCCATCTCCACACCACACTTGCAGCACTGGCGATAGCCACCGTGCGCCCAAGATTCAACTCCGCGGCCCAAGCTTTGGTCTTGGCCCATGGCTACAAATCTGCAGCCGTTCTTGGCTCCTTCCTACAGGATAGGTCGGCTTGCCATCAAGCATGACTACTTTGATTCTGGTTCATCACCATAACTGTCTGCCAACATATGTCATGTTCATTGGTGACAATTGTCATACTGTACTTTTCTACTGGCCCGGCTCAACTGTTCTTCTTGCGACTTTCAAAACTTTCTGCGCGAGAATCCAGCTCCACGCAGGTTGTGACAAGCGTGTCAAAACGGAAGAAAGCGACTCGGCCACCGTCTCTGGTCGCCATTATGACCGATGGTGGAGACGGGGTGTGCTCATTTGGAATGGGGGCCCGGAAGAGGCCCATGCTGTAGGTCGACATGGACGGTATTATTTATGATTACTATTACTATACATTACTACCAGGTACGAGTCATCCCAACGACACAAAAAGAACTGAGGCACAGCCTCAAGCAGAACCAACTGATCCCTCCCAGTGGGCAAGTTTCACATCTCATACAGAAAAGACATGCCCTGACCACTCAACCACTCTGAAAGTCGCCCACGCCCGCCTCACGCGCTTGTGCGCGCCAGGCGCCCTGCCGGCTTTCGGCCTCCACGGCCTTGGCGTTCGAGCCGATAGAAAGATCAAAGGAAATCGCCTGCGACCAACAGAACTTGAACCTAGAAGTGTTTGTTTAAAAAAAATCTTGGACAATAGGTTTTTGGTATAAGGAGAACGGAAGCCTTCCATAGCCGTGTTCTCAGACCAGTCCACCGGAAGACCCGCGGTTCCACGCGGCGCAAAGTGACCCCGGTCGTCACCGGTCGATCCGGCCTTTCCACCGGTCGGTGACCCAGTCGTCACCGTCCCGGTCGCGCCTCCTGAAGGTGTTTCCCTCGCAGCATCAGCAGCTCAGCGCCCTCCATGCCACCCGCCGCCCGGCACCTGAGGCGTGGCGCCCCGCGAGTGGAGGCTGACGAGTGGAGGCTGACGCTGACATTGGCTGAGAAATGGGGAAGTGGCTTTGGCTGAGAATTGCTGGTGGAGGGTCCCGAAATTGCTAGGATTCCTAGGATGCACCAAACTCTGTGATTTGATTGTATGTCAGGCTCTCAGGCTTTCCATCATCGAGACGTCCGAACAATTCCTCCGCAAAGCTTGCAGCTCGGGGTTTTCGTCCAAGACACCACGGCAGTTCACCCCCGGTCGGCAGAAGCACTTCCTGCCGTCCGCGGACAGTCGTGCGAACTTGTTGCCGCGAACGGCTGGGATTTCGGGGCAGGGATCCTCTGAGGCGATGAGAGAGAGTTCAAAGGAACCGACCTTTTGCTGAAAACTTCCCAGCTCATCGTGCTCAAACCCCACCAAGACACCACATCGGACATCAACCCTGAAAGGATTGAAACGGACTGGTCATCTACCTTCACTTTGGTTGTCCGGCCAATCAGAACAACACCTGAAGATTCGCTCGGCTCATCTCCCAAAGGGAAAGAGAAAGCCATCCTCTGTTCGTCACCCGGCCAGTGAAATCACAGATATCACAGTATACATCTGATCACTTCAATGCCCTCCTCAACTCCCTGGCTTCACACCATCGCCTGCCCGGGTGCAGCGCCCAGCAGTTGCAAAGTCCCACGCAGGACCAAGGCAGCATCACCTCAAGATGGTGTCCGGCAAGATGGAAATCCCGAAACCAGAGGCTTAGAGAACTTGTTGTTGCCACTGGGAGCTAGAGACTAAATAGTAGACGGCAGCATATGTGCCTTCAAAGAAAGAAAGAGCTGCAGGTTCTTATAATTGACTGGACGGGTTCATGTTGGATCTGATGCTGGAGATTGAAGCCTGTGAGTTCCGATCCACATAATTACCGGAAGAAGCGAGGCGACGGCACTCGTCCATCCTCACACCCTGAGAAGACCCAAACATGCAAGCCCACACTGGAGCTCTGTCAAGGTGGCACTGGAACTGTGAGGTCGGCTTCCTTTACTGGATCCCGAGAGAAGCAACAGTCAGAAAGGCGACCGAACAACTCTGCCCAGGGGGGTTCATAACAAATCTTGCACTGTTGCCCATGGACTCCACAAAAAGTGCGCAGCTGTTTCATTCCACAAAGATTTCTCCGGATTGGCGGTCGGACCTGAACACCACCTCCCCCAACTGGGGTGGTGCAAAGACCCCTAATTAAGAACCTTAGCAGCTCATTCGGTTCTGTTTTTCAGTTCACCATCCAAAGACGTCAGACAAAAAGGGCATGCGGCATGCACACTCTCAGCTATCGCATCTTTTCCAAAGGACCATACGAGATGACGACAGGTCACCTGAGAGGACCCTACGCTGGGGTACCCAACGGGGATCGTCTTTCCTAACTCGGTCCTTCAACCTCCGCGTTGCGGATGCTTCGCTTCGCTTCGAATCCGCCGTCGGGCTCCTTCCCCGACCTCTCGGAACCCCGGTGACATCCCAGCCTTCCGCCGGGCTGGACCTGAGCCGCTGGGCGAAGGCGCAAAAGGGCTGCGCCGGGCTGGGGAGGTCCGCAGGAAATCGAGGCAACAGCGCAAACCATGGCTGAGGAAACCTCTTCAACAGCGGCAAACCTGTTCTCATGCTATACCTGTACTTCCAAAACCAGACGGTGCGGTGCAGCCCCCGGGATCGGTCCAGCGGCAAGAGCTGCTCCGGCAGAAGGCGCTCGAGCCGCAAGCAGGACCTGATCCCGCGAGCGACGCTGGAAGTGACGACCTTCAACTATCCCAGACACGACTAATGGGACTGGCATATTTACATACATTGGGGTGGTTGACCTGGGGTCCATGTAGGCAAATATGGCAGTCCCATGGAGTGTTTGGGTATGATATTCATTTCCAGGAGTCCAAAGTTACGACCCCACAAAGTTGACACAGTTTGCGTGACAAAGGCTTTTGCCATGGGCTAATCGTGGGAGTGCACCCGAATCGTTCCAGCCATCACCAGATGGCAATGCTGCACCGAATTGAACAGAAAAAGACCACAGGCTCCGCTGCTGCGTGTGGTTGACCGAGTTGGCGCTTCTGTGCAGCACAGTGTGGTGGTTAAACCGTTCAACTACTGCTCGGTGGCTCCTGTGGACGAAGCCTCTTTTGGCCGGCCAAGTTGAGGAATATTTCATCTCCCAGAAGTGTTTGGAAAGCTCTGTTCTTCTTGCCACATCTCGTGGGACATCTGTATGACACCTGAATGACCAGGGTGACCCATGTTGACCCGCACATGGAATAAAGAAAGCTGTGTCCTGATGGATCCAAGCCTAACCGCTAGGCCTAACCCTGGGATTCCAACAACCATCGTTTTACGAAGGATGTTACACTACAAAACCAGGTCAACCATCATCTTGATGGTCTTTGAAGGCTAGGGCTATATCACCCATGCCTCGAGCTGCCTCCACACCCCCACCCGACACGTCCAGATCGCCCGATTCGGAATCCACGGTCCAAATGGCATGGCCCGGCGCCGGGCGTTAGGGCAGATGGGCGCCAAAGCATCATGAAAGCTGGTGCAGGAGCTTTGGAGCAGACTCAACAAGCGTAGCGCAGCCTCGGATCGGGGCCTTTTGCCGGAGAATGTATGCAGAATACCACGACCTGACTGGGGTGGCTTCCTGAACCAATGGAAGATCTCTACTCTATTTCTGTTTAACAAACAGCTAGCAAGCGATCATCTACGCACGGGTACAACAACTTCTTGCTAACCAATCTACAACTGCCATAGGTCGCCTACTCTACAGTTTCCTCATCCATAGGTCCATTTGCCAGGTCTGACCTCATGGTTGTTTGCGCCCCGGGACCGGGATTCCGAGCTGATCAATAGTATATAGTTCTGTCCAGACGGTTGTACCGCTCTGAAGCAACTGGTCTCCCTCCGGTCCTGTCGACTCCTTCAAGCGGTTCCACCTCCCAAAAACAGCGCAAGATCCAGTAGATCCAGACGCCAAGGGACACCATCCGAGAGCTCCTGCGTCCGAGTCCAGTTGGCTGGGTTGAAAGGCTTCCGGGGGGATGAACACCCTGGCCGCTGGCCTCCCGGTTCGACCATGAAAAGAAAGGTTGACCTGGCTTTCTCGTGCAGAAAACCTTAGAAAAAGAGGTGGTTGCTTGGTCAAGTGGTTGGCAGCGTCCCGTGACCAGACCGGAGAGCTTCTTTTTGACGTCGATCGCCGAGGACCGACGCCACCGCGCGGCTGTAACGCGCCCTGTGCCTCCAGCCACGTTGCACATACATCGCACAGTACACCCCCCCACCCTGCATGTCTCTACAGCCTCCTGCTGGCCCGCTGTTGGACGTCAGCCCCTAAATATGGTCAGCACCCTCCCAAAATCTACAGTATACATGTGGAGCTTGTATGGCACTGACCATTGCGCACAAACCCGTCAACTCAACTCCGAGAGTGATCATCCAAGAGTGCCCGCTGATTTGCTCAGGCCATGTGGCCATGCCTATCTTCAAGGACGGGGAATATCTTCATCCTCAACTGTCCAACAAAAGGAGTGCTCCCTAAACCTCCAAGACCACCACCGGAGCTGTGTGGAAACAAACAATGTGAAACCTTTCTTAGTTCCAAAACTGGTGACCATCATAATGTATAAAATACACGCCTGTCCACCAAACTTGGGTAAACCGACTGAAGAGCACCGCTTTTGGTTCCTGGCCACTGATACAGAGGTCATGCACTAGCCATCTCACCTGGCACAGCTGCGGCAGTTGGCAAAGCACGCAAATCGAGTTGTTCTCAAGTAGATGGGCCGAAGCACGTCTTCCTGCTGTGTTTGAAGTGTTCTGATCATGGATGACTATTGATAGATAAGACCAGCAAAGATGGAAAGTATCATCCAAGATGCAGTTTGTATCATCCAAGTTGGACGACTTGAATCAAAAGCTGGGTACATCGCGAAAAGCTTGTAGAAAAAGAAAGGTCGCTTCCACCAACCCAAGGGGTGCCGAAAAATGATCCCCACCTTGCAAGTGTACAGCGTTGCATGAATTAAACATCACCTTGCATGACCAAACATCCAGCCAGTGTCAGTTGCTTGTTGGCCCATCTCCACCGCGGTCCCCCACGTTCCCCCGTTCGTCGCTTCGTCGTGTCCCACCCGAACGGCCAATGAGAACGGCCTCTCTGAGCACCTCTGTAGAACAGCTTGGCTCCAAAGCCTGCAGAGACGGGAAATCCGGGTCTTTCAATCCGTTAGACGTTGAAAATGGTTTCCAATACACCTTTCAGACGATTCATTCATTTATCTAGTTACTTGCAGCTTGCAGGACACATAGAAGCTACTTAGAAGCTCCGATAGGGTACTCCCCGAACCCTCTGGGCTGTGGACGCAAGAATCATGAGGTATCCAGGTATATATCCTTGATTTTTAGGTGGGTTGTCAAGATGACTACCGACCACGCCCAAAGAAACTCTTGCGGATCCTGGAATTCAGCCATCCACCACCTTCACCCCAAAACTTGGGGCTGGGTGGAAGGAGGTTCAGCTGCCGCTGCACTGGTTCTTTTCGGTGCTTTTCGGTGTTTCAACGGATTCCGGCGAATCGCTTCGTGATTCCGACCAAATCGACGACAGTGCCGCACCTGCGATGCTTGGCTTTCGCTGGAGCTTGGACCTTGACTCGAAGATGTTGGGACGTGGTCTCTCCGTCTACAGTGACTGCTTTGATGATGATGATGATGATGATGATGATGATGATGATGATGACCCACTACCCTGGAGGCATATTCCTGGTCTTGGGATTGGTGGGACTCAAGTCTGTCTTGGGCCTATAGCCTTGCAAATCTGGTCCTCTTGAGTCTCCCGTGCCCTAGCATCAGTGAACTAAAGTGAATGTATACAAACTCTCTCTTACAATCTGGTTGTTGAAGATAGCCACTGCTTGTTGCTCCAAGAGGATCCCAAAGAGATTGGTTTTATACAGAACCTGGATTGTGGCCATATCGACCGGAAATGGGCCCTTGAGCACTCTCAGCATCCAACCACCTGATATTAGAATTGGGAGACTTGCAAAGATCTGGATAGATAGACTCCAAAGAGATAGAATAGATAGCGTCTCTTTGGAGTCCAAGGATAAATAGAATAGACTCCAAAAGAGATCGACTCCTCCGGAAGCTACTTCGGAAGACTCCTCCGGTCCACAGATTGCGGGCCACGATGCTGGCGACCAATTGATTGGGTCTCCGCTCAGGTCGGGTGGTTGGCGCTAGGGATGGGTGGGAAGTGAAGCACTTCCAAGTGATCTAGCAAGCTGTCTCAAACGTGACACCTGCTATGAATAGAAGGGGTCCTTTCTGCACCAACAAGTGCTGCGCCGGCAAGATTTGGGTAGGAAAGGAACTACAGTAATCATGGTCATGAGTCATAGTCTCTGCTGTTGAATCTGGAGAGTCTACTGAGAGAATCCTCTAAACGATGTGTCAACATTCAGCGTTTGAAGCATATAATGAAGTGCGTCCACCAACCTCGAAGTTTAAGAGCAGGGCCATTTTAACAAAAAAGTGAAACGTCGCTGGCAAACATGGCATTAGTGGTGGCGGTCGACATTGATTGGCGGCCACCATGTATCTCAAGCCTCTCCACACAACCGGTCGCTTCAGCTCATGTCCGAGCAACGCTGAAGCGCCAGCACCTGAGCAGTCTCGACTGGCCTTTCAAAGGATGGTTGATGAACTCCTGTAGAATCTGCCAGGACCCTCCTGTCGGGGTGTCTATTTATAGCCCCTTAGCCGTTAAGGGGTGTCCATTAACCACCTCTTGAAGGCCCTGGTGGGTTTCTCCAATCGAAAACCAGCTGCTGGTGTTCCAATGATTCTGGCCGTTTGGAGGCTTGGAAGCAGGAAGCGAGCTGTCGAGGATTTTCGGGGTGGCGATTCAATTGTAGGCACGAATAGGCCATCCGCCATGGGTGGCGGTAGAAACGGAGGAGCTTCTCAGCTTCTCTTGACCTTTGTGGCATCACCCAAACACCTGTCCACGCATTTGGTGAAGCCTTCTTGCTGCAACTCAAGAACTTCGGCTATAAGCAACTCCCTTCAAAAACTCAACGATATACGTGTCCAGTTGCTTCGAAAGATCCGCTTTGGACAAGATTGGAGAAAATGGCATCAAAAGCCTCTGAGGTCCAGGGAGTCTGGGGCCACTGAGGTTCCCAGTCCCAACACACACACCCACACGGGTGCCACTGGTGGTGCCCGCACCGGCGCTACGCTGGGAGGGCTCTGCAGACTCCGCAAGGACCTCAGGCGTTTCTCAAGGCGCGGCAATGAACTCAAGGTGTGGCATTCTTTCCGAAGCGTTATCCATGCACGTTCATTGATACCATCTTCATGTGTGTAAAAGTTGTTTCAAAAAGAAGGCCAAAATCTGTCGTTCCTCGCAACAAATTGAGTAGTTGGACAGTTGCTTTGCCCAGTCAACCATGAAGCCAGGTCATAATGGATACTTACAAAGAAGGCCATAATCACGATATATCACGATCTTAAACATCTGCATTGGCCAAGCTCAGTGCAGTAGTTGTTCCCTTTTGCCTTTGCCATGCTGACACTGAAGTGGCCGTTCACCCTCGTGAGAATATAAGTGTTTGGTCCACAACTCATATTTTCACATTGGACCCTGTTGTTGTTCTCAAAGGACGAAGCGCCCTCGACGCGGAACCCGCAACCCACGAAAGAATTTGGTCAACCCGGAGCATGGCACCCGATGGCAGCTTGGACCGACCAAATGGACCGAATTGAGATCCCCAGGTCGCCCTAGTTCTGAGAATCAAGTTTTGACTGACAGCCAGGTCAGTGCACAGGCTGGCAAATAGGATGATGCGCCCAAAATCTGTCGCCCAACAGGATTGCCTACTAGGCAAGGGGGGCCACCCCAAGCTCACCAACAAATGCCGTGTCTTGGCATAGCACAAATCACCTGCCCGCAGATGTGCAAACACGACAACGCCACTACAAGCAAGAACCAGACTTCGCATGCTCAGGAATCCGCTCTGGAGTCTGCCAGCAAGTGAGCACGACAGCCATCCGAGAGAACCATTAATGGTGTCCCAGATATTCCCAGATATGCTAAAGTCTCAGCGTATTTTTCAGCATTCCCCATTTTGACCCGCGGCCCTTCCATCCAACTCATTCCAGATACTAACACATCATTCAAACCCAGCCAAGGCCCGTGCTCGATCGAAATAGTGCTTGCTTTTAAGACTTGAATCATCACTCCTTGTAAAATACTTTCATATGCTGCTCTAGTCGCTGTTGCAGTCTGTTGGCGGTCTGTTTGCTCTGTGTCGGATGTTCAAACCAGCGGAATTTATCCGGGTCTGAGGCCCAGGGCATCTCGGGCATCTCGGACATCTCGGGCATCTCGGGCATCTCGGGCATCTCGCCTCGCTCGCCTCGCGAAGCGCGATTCAAGCACTTATGGTTATGGTTATAGACTTACGTTTGTTTGTCGTATGGTTATAGTTATAGTACAGTACGTTATAGTATGGTTTTGTCGCATATTTGTAGACTTGTAGATGTTATGGATGCTAGAAGTACTGGAAACCACCAAACACGTGCATCATGGCCTTTGAAGCACGGTTGGATACCAGAAGCAGCAACAAGCCCATGCGAAAGAGATTCAAGTGATGGCAGGGCAGAACCTGGACGAAAACGGCCTCACCCAGGTCCGTCACAGGCGGATTTGGGGGGCAGAGGCATGAATTCCACTAGGTCACTAGCCGTGGATGGTGATATGGTCCGAATGCTCAGACGTCCATCAGCATCCAAGAATATCCCTTCACCACCAGCCAGTGCCCCTTTGTCCCGCCATCAGGAAGATCAGCTCCGTTCCTCCAGGTCTATGGCACTTGGTTGAGGCGTGGACTCCGAAGACTACTTCTGTATTAATACCAGGTTGTTGTTCTGCAAACAGTGTGGTCGCACTTCTTGTGCTTTTGTTCTACTAAACACTGTTTGTGGTCTCACTTGGGTTCTTCCAACATTGAATGGTCGCCCAATGTCATGAGAAGTTGTTGAATACGAGGCAGGCCCTGAGAATTCGATGTCAAGGCCCCCGAGATCGTCTCGATCCTACCTGCCGCGCTCTTCACGCCGCTGGGAGCCCAATTCCGGGGAGTCGGGCGTGAAGCGAAACGGGACCGAGACCGGTGCCGCGAGACCGGTGGAAGACACAACCCGCCAAAGGCCCCAGTCGTGGCTCACAGAACTGCCAAAAAGATCAGAACACGACCCAAACGCTCACCGGAGCCATCTTTTCGGCCCGCAAAGGGAAGGAGAGGGAGGGAGGGAGGGAGGGAGGGAGAGAGAGAGAAAGAGAGAGAGAGAGAGAGAGCGAGAGCGAGAGCGAGAGCGAGAGCGAGAGTGTGTGTGTGTGTGTCTTAAGACAGTGCCTGATCTCTGAGAGAGTCTTAAGTGTCTTATCATGGTGGCCGACCGACCCGCGGGCACCGACCATCGGATCCGAGATCGTCTTCCGCCATCTCTTCCCCTCCGATCGTCTTCCACCCCCCTCCCCGTAGATTCGGAGGGATCATGGGAAACTCAACAGGTTGGGCCAACGTTCAACGTCCCGCTCCCGGCTCCTTCCGAACGGAAATAGCATGGGGAAGATCATGGGAAGGGACGCGGATGTTCTTCGCGGGGGGTATCCGGAGACTCGGAGACGGAGCTTCTTTTCCTTTCACCAAACAGGAGGTCTCAGGGAGTGTAGCAAGTCCGGCATCTTCCCTGGTTTTCATCTTGGTCTCATGAAGGTTTGATGAGACATGTCACTTGAAATGGAGGGAGCCTATGCGTCAGCGGCTAGTGAGGTGTCATACACCAGCCGGACGAAGCCGTCGAGATAGACATGACCAGGTAAGGCGTGATCCCAAAGAGAAGACCGTGGCACGGTGAAACCAATACATTCTGAATGTTGGGGATCTACCTTTGTCTCTATTTGGGGACCACTATACAGTAGATCAAAAACGTCCAGCCCATTCTTGGAGTGGGGTTTCAGGATAGGATCCTTTCTTGTAGACTCTCAACCACCAGCGGTCTACTTGTCTCGTTTGCAGTGGAAGGTACCGCATCTTGGCTGGGGCCTGCAGCGCATAGGCGGGCATGGCAAGGTGAATACCATTGGACCATGCAGTCTCTCTATTGTAAGATCACTATCCAAAAAAGATCCCTAATGGACTACCCACCTGCACCTTCCACCACCTGGATGGTCTAAAATTTAGAAGGCAGTCTGTTTACCATCAAAATGCCTTGGTTGGCTCCTTGGCTGGAAATAACAAGAAAAAAGGATCGAAGCCTGTCATGCGCTGATTGATGCTGCCAGGCTGTGTTGAACCTCCCCTTCTTCTGCTGCCAGGCTGTGAACATGTGAAGAAAACGGTGGACGGCCGATTGGGAGACCTCATAACAACGCTTCAACCGGTCAAAGAGTCGACCGGTCTGTTCGGTCGGCCGGTTCTGTTCGTGCGAGGTCCGAAGCAGAAAAGCGCCACAGACCGAAGGAAACCGCTGGTGATCTCCTACCATTGGTCATTCTCGCAATTCTGTCCTGGAATTCTGAAAGGCTTTGTCAAAAAGATTAAAAAGATGTGTGTGTGTGTGTGTCCAACCCTGGACAAAGGGTTTTCCACCACCACTCTTTCTATCCTACATGAGCAGGGGGATGGAAAGGACATGTGAGGCTCCATCCAACGAAGCTCCTCACATGCTCCTAGGATATCGGCCAGGACGCTGGCCGACGTACCTGCTCGTTCTTTCACAAGCTGTCACTCCAATCTTCCGCTTTTGATTCATGGTTCTTCACGTTTCCACCCCATAAACACTCGTCCCCAGCAGCTGTGCAGCCGGTTCACTTTCCGCCGCTTGCGAGTGCAAACATTGTTCAACAATACAGTTTCAGCTGACCTTTCCACCTTGCTGTTCCATCGTCTTCCTTCCCAACGAGACAATTGCGTTAACTGAAAACCCAAGTTCGAAGTGTGTGTCTCATGTCCTTTCTTGGTTAAATGTATTTTGTGATTGTCACTAGTGATGTGAACGAAGCACCTGCAGGATCAAGTCCATCAATCATCCGTCTAAAACGTCTCCCATGCCACCTGCTGTTGGCAGATTTGTCCGCCTGCCAAGCAGGGAATGAGACGACCGAAATGAACGGAGAAGACCACGAGCCAACGTGGCCTTTTTGATGGTCCCAAAGTAGATGTTGAAACGGTTTCCATTGCATATGCAGTGGGAATTTACCTTTCTATCTATGTTGGGGATCACTGTCGCCCAGTGCAGGTAACATGACGGATGTATTGCAATTCAATGAGTTCCAGCCTTTATTCACTCTCAGCCAGTTTTTTGATGGTCTCCCATACGGTTCTCGTTGTCCCAGCAACTGCATCCCACGTGAGCAGGAATGAAGCTGCTAGCCATCAAAAATGTACCTGTTCGCTTGCGCCTCCTCCCCCAAACAGGTCAGGCCGCTTGTGCTGGCCGAATGTTCCATCTGGCTCGCCCGATCTGGCGTCAGGGCGAGCCAGATGGCAGTTGTCAGCATCCCCCAACTTGTCAGGGGAAGATCTGGCTCAGTCCCGTGGAAGCGAAAACGCCCTGCCCCACCTCCGGCAATCGTGCCGTGTGATGCGTGGCGGTGCTGGGTCCCTGGGGGCAGCGCAGCAGCGCAGGTCAGGGCCAAGGAAAGGGCCAAGCAAAGCAAGCAAACTAGGAAGAATGTAGTATGTACACAAACAAAAATGTACAGACGGAGTCATGCATGTGTGGCCAGGTTGCAGGTCGCAACTCAGACCGTTGCTTGCAGCAGAAACTGGATCTAGAAAAAAGAGAGGGAAGCTGCCCTGTTTGTAGTGGCTATCTCGTCTTCCTTCTCGGTCCATGCCATCCACTTCCAGTGTCGGAGGGTACTAGCAACAGCAACTGTTTCGAAACTGTCAAGAACCTCCGGAGCGAGCACGGAACCGTCTCTGGAACACTGCCGACTCCGTCGGAAGCTTCTCCAGAACCTCTGGAACCCTACAAAGCCCGACAGAATCTCCTCGGATTCTTATTTATATGGCATTCAGTACTTACTTTCATTTCCGCCCTCAGCACTTCAAAAGTGTCAGTCGCTCATTTGCTGTGCAAGGCATTGTCGAAGCGTTTTCTGTGCGAGGCGAAAGCTTGGCTGTTTTAATAGGCTGCAAGGCTGAAAATTGTCCTTATCCCAAGTCCTGCTCAACAAACCCTGTTCAGAAGATACTCTGGAACTTGCACCAATCTTTTCAATGTGGCGAAAAAACTCCAAGCTCTCGTTGTTGGGTAAGAAAAGCAAATTGGCTGGCACCGATTGTGAAGAGCAGTTTGCGCAGGGCAAATCATTGCAAGCTCCGTTGATGCAATGCCCACTGTTGAGAGGCATATGGTCAATATGTTTTCCAATGAATCTGGCTTCAATCCTGCCGCCCTCGCTTGCGACAGCACCCCTAACAGTGCCCACCACACCCAAGCATAGAATCTGCTAAACTCAAAATATACAAAAGAAAAACTGGAGAAAACCGGCAAGAAGCCCTAGGGATCCAGTCGTACCTTCTCAGGTACGGTGATATGTTCGACCCCAAGACATGTAGGTGCCATACGAGAACGGGTCATGTAGGCACCGAACCTGAGGTGACTCGGAACGAAAACGGATCCCTAGGGAAGGCATCAAGCCGATCTGATGCGATGTCTGATCCGATCCCACTAGCTGGGCCGCTCCCCCTCCACTGACGCCTGCGGAGCTGATGGAAGCCCTGGCACAGTCGGCGCAGGCGCACGGGGAATGGCTCAAGGAGTTGCCAGGCCTTTGTTGGACATGAAAACCTATTGTTTGGGGGGTGAGATCTGCTTTGGGTTCGCCCTCTAATCTAATTCTTGCAGTTGCACTTGAATGAAATGGTGAACGTCTCCTACATCTTGTCTCCCTTCCCTGTGTGGACTCCGGGAATTCGCTCCTTAAACACTTCACACTTTGAGGGGGTCGATTGGAGCTCCATATTTCTTATTCACAATTTCTTCCCATGCACAAGTCTCTTCGCACTGTGGGCCTCAAGACCTCCGAAGAAGCCATGGCGCTGGAGCTCTGCTGAAGCCTCTTCAGGCTCAGGCGGGCCAACAAGAGATGAAGATGGGACATGGACGCTTATTGCACTCGAGAACCTGGGTGGACCTCGAAAAAAACAGTGAACAAAATTCCCACGACCATGGATTTGTTGATGTGAACCTACCGTGTTTGTTGGAGGTGTTGGCTCTGGACCGAGGTGGATACACAACCGCTCATTCAAGCAGATTCAGACAGATCATTTCTTCTAAGAGATCCTTTTCCATGGACATTAGTGACGGGAATGTATGTTTGAGGGTGAGGTCCTGTCCTTCCAATCAATGAGTTGGTGGTTGGTCAAGCAGGAGTACAAGACACTGGCAGGCACGGGCCGTGCGCATACAACTCCGTCACATGTGGATAAACTTGGATAAATTCTTTGATTGGCTGGTGAAAGTCCATGTGCCTATACAGTTGTCTTGCTTAATTACGCCAGTATGGACCCCGACAGCAAAAAGTATTTGAAAGCCGCAGCACCCTGCGGCGGCACTAGCACCCAGGCCCCACTGCGATGGACATCTGGCAGCAACTGCACCGGCCGGCGCCCTGCAGCGGCACAAGCACCCAAGCTCCAAAGCGCACACAGCCATGAACATCTCTCAGCAGCACCCTAGAGCAGCGTCTGCAGGGGCACCTGCACTCAGTCTCCAAAGCGCATACAGGCACCTCTTCCTATACTTAAGGTAAGAACCCCAATAGCTCTCACGATCTGCAAAAAAGAAAACCACATGTGTCATTTTTCTCCTGCCCGGTGTT